CACCAAACTTATACTTCTCCCGGGAGAAATTGTCAATAACTCTTGAGTTGCCCCTCTTAGCAAGTTCTTCATTATGTGTCACTTAAGCAGTGTGGTGTGCGGCTCATCCTTGGACAGGGAGTTGGGTGATGGGTTCAAGCCTGTCTTCATGGTGTCACTTTTCTCAGTTGTGAAGTGGGTAGGTCTAAAAGGGGAGGGACACCTGGCTGGCTCAGTCACTCTTGATCTCAGGGTCATGAGTTCGAGCCCCACATTGGGTGTAGAGATAACTAAAATAAAAACCTTCAAAAAAATAAAAGGGGTTTGTAGTTTGTACAGCATAGTCCAGATGTGAGTTTCAGGCATACCTACAAATTACGCTGTTCTCTTGATTCAAATTGGAAGACCTTCTGTCTTTGAGGCATACTGTTTTTGAGGCATACTTTGAAGTACCTGTGTTTACACAGAAAACCACTCTACTGCTTTATTTCTAAAGGAATCTACATAGCAGGATTGATGGGTTTCTCCTTTCTGGAGAGCCTGCCAAAGTCAGATTCCTGGGCCTTACCTCAGACTCATTAAATCAGACTCTTCTAGGGCAGATCCTAGGAATCTGCATTCCAACATGCATCCCAGGTGATTCTGATATGCTAGACTTTCAGGAATTAGGAACCATACATTTGAGTTATGGTCCTCTTTTGCTTGGACTTCCAGAGCCTTCTGGGAAGCCCAGAACAGGACTAGGCATCGGCACCATGGATGCTCATAGAAAATCAGTGAATAGGAGTGCCTGATTTGACAAGAACAGTGTTGAGTGTTATATATACATCATGGTGCCTGCCCTCAAGGAGATCTTGTCCATATAGCGATAAGAATCCACCCATGAAAAATACTCAGATGGAGCCATAAATTAAAAATTATGGCACGGGCGCCTGGGTGGCTCAGTTGGTTAAGCAACTGCCTTTGGCTCAGGTCATGATCCTGGAGTCCCCAGATCGAGTCTGGCATCGGGCTCCCTGCTCAGCAGGAAATCTGCTTCTCCCTCTGACCCTCCCCCCTCTCATGCTCTCTCTCTCTCATTCTCTCTGTCTCAAATAAAGAAATAAAATCTTTAAAAAAAAATTATGGCACATGCTTTGAGAGAAGATGGAGGCATTTGATACAGAATGAGAAATCATCCACAGTCAGGATAGGACTTTCTGGGAGAGTAATAAGTGAATAGAGACCTGAAGGCTGACTGGATAAATAATCCAGAGAAACATACAGAATTGTGCTTGTCCAATATGGTAACCACTATTCAGTGATTTACAATTAAGATAAAATTATGCAAAATAGAAAATTTGGTATGTTCACTGGAATTAAACACTTTTTAAAATTTAGCGTCTAAGTTATATTAGCTACACTTCAAATTCTCAGTAGCCACATGTAGCTACCATATTAGACAATGCAAAAATAATACATTTTTATCATTTCAGAGAATTCTCTTGGACTACCCTGATCTGGGCCAGGGGTAGTGAAACAAGTCTGACACACTGCCTATTTTTGAAAATTAAGTTTTCTTGGCACACAGCCACACTCATTCTTTGCGAATGCTCTTCGGGTGCTTACACACTACAATGGCGGAGTTTTAGCAGTTGTGATAGAGACTATAGCCAGCCAACAGAGCCTCAACATTCTATGGTCTTTCATTAAAAAGCATGTGAGGGAATAGGTTTAACGTGGCTATGTAGGGCAAGGAGAGCAGGTGAGTTCCTTGTATAGTGCGCTCTTGCTACACAGATGTTCAAATGCTACAAGAGAGGGATAGTGAGATTATGTTGCTTTGCCCGCATGCACACAGGCAGCTGCGGTTGTATTAATTTCTTCTTTTCTCTCCATCTGTGGCTTTTGAGGCAGCCGTCTCTTGTCTAGACAAATTGGAGCAGGTCCAAGGAAGAGCAACCACATTGGTGAAGCAACTGTGTCCTTGGAGGCACAATTGACAATGTTGATACAATTCTGTCCTGGGTTGGAGGCTGAACTAAAGTTCTCTTAAAATCCAGTTACTTCTTCCTTTGAGATGATATGTATTCCAAACAAAACTGTTGAACTTTTGTTGTAGAACCCAATGCACCATGTGAACATCTAGTCCCCTTGCTTATACAATCAATTCAACATAGTGAAGATTTCATATTATGAGATATGATCAACAGATATCAAAGTTCATGTGAAAAATCAAGTGGATCTTGATTTTTAGGAGTGTTTCCTCTAGGTCATTTAGCTTCTCTACCTGTGCAAATGGAATTTCATCAATGGCATTTATTAGCTGAGGTATACATTTTAACACACATTTTAAAAACCCTAATTTCAGATTGAGTTAAATTTCATGGGGAACTCTTAGAAGTTTCAGGAGTCTTATCAGTATATGAAATCCTAAATGGGTTATTTAGAAATTTAAGATTTTTCGCTTTTGTTACTTCTGGATTAAGTTCACTTAAAAATACTCATAGGAAAAAAAGTACTCATGGGGACTATATATGATTGAGATGGTACATTTCCCTCTTATTTTCTTGCAGATTATTGTTTGCTGTAGCAAATGAGTCACTGATTTATCAGCAACTAGCCAGAGTAATAGTGTTGTTCTAGCCCTAGTCCTAGCATTGCACTACCATTGGAAATCAAAAAGACCTTCACCTTATTTACATTACAATCCAGAACGTGCAAACTGTGTTCTATACCATGAGAGGAACTGTTAACTCTGTATTTTTTTTTTTAATTTTCTTCCTTAGATAAGAAAATTGAGGCTCAGAAAATTGGGAGTTTGTCAAGAGTCACACGTTTAATAGTGACAGAGCAGGAAATCGAGTCTAGATGTTTCCTACTCCACAAACATTCTTTTTCCTTCACTATTTTTGTTCTTTGTCACTGGTTTTCAGATAAGATAATTTAAAGACCTGTTTTATATATAACATCAGAGCTTAAGTCTGAATTTTGTCAAATCTGTTTTCTGTATGATTTTATCAATAGTATCTGACTCAAATTCATTGCAGCAAGGATTGGATCAAAGGATGGTTTTTTTTTTTCATCTCCTTAGAACTGAACTTGATTTCTAAAGCCTTCCAGAAGCAGATATTTTTTCCCATACTTGTGAAGTGATTCTTTTTTTTTTTTTCTAGACAAAAATCTTTATTTTAACATTTAAAAGAAAGAATCACATGTTCATCCTGACAGCTTTCCCAGGCTTGGCCACCCAATAAGTTACACACACACGAAGGTACTTGGAAGGTTATTGCACGCCTCTGTCACTGGTGAGTCACAGTGATGTGGCCACTCTCCCCGCAGTCAGACCCGAGCCTGTCCTCCCTCCACCAGGAGGCCTCACTCATACCAGGCTGTGGGGAGGCTCCAGGTGGACCTCGGCTCTGGATCGTGAAGCTAGTGACATAGCCACACTTCCTGTGGCTACCTTCACTCCAGAGCACAGTGTTCACTGAAGGGGACTCTTGGGTGGGGAGGCTGAGGCAGCGCCCTCGGGCACGGGCAGGCCTGTTCCTGACACCATACAGCAGCCCTGCCTCTCAGATTCCTCCCCCTGCACCATTCTTAAGAGTGTTTGCTAGTTGATTCTTTGCTTTTTTAGCTACTTGATGGTTTTGATGAATTTGCTGTGATCCAGGGGTGCTCAAGTACTTCTTTGAGAGTTGGCCTTTGGCTGGGATTATGTTTCAACAGTCTTGAGATGAGGTCCCTGGCTCCCTCCGGCACAAAGTCAGGGAATGTGAACTCAACCCGCGATATTCTTTTGTAGGTCTCTTGGTATGTGCTTGCCTCAAAAGGAGGCTTTCCAACTAGAAATTCATAGCAAAGAACCCCAAGGCTCCAGAGATCCACCTTCTCGTCATGCATTCGGCCTTCAATCATCTCTGGGGGCAAGTAATCCAGGGTGGCACAGAGGGTGGTTCTCCTGGAGGATGGAGCATGTACTGACCACCCAAAATCTGCAATCTTAAGCTCTCCAGCCGATCCAAGGAGTAGGTTCTCTGGCTTAATGTCTCTATGAATGACTCTCTTTGAGTGACGGTAGGACAGGGCATCTGCCAACTTTGTGTTATAAGTAGCAGTTCTCTGCTCCTCAAACTTTGACAGTTTCTGAAGTTCTCTGTAGACAGCTCTGAGAGGTGCATACTCTAGAATTAGGTAAACTCTGGTGGCATCATGGAAATAACCATACAGTCTGAGAATATTTGGATGCCTACAGTCCCACCTGGGACTGTATTCCTACTTCTCTTCTCAGCTGATGCTCAACTCCTGCTTTCTCCAGTTGGGCTTTAAATACTTTAAGAGCCAGGATAAACTTGCTTTGCCTTTCTCTTGCCAAGTAAACATTACCAAACTTTCCTTTACCCAGTGGACGACCAATTTCAAAATCTTCCAAAGCCCATTGCCTTTTTTTTGATTCTTCATTTTTCTGTTTTGTTGCCAGTTCCTTTTCAGAATTATTTCCAGGGGCTGATGATGACGGCTGCTCATTCTTTTGGGTATTATTCAGTGGCCTAGAGACAGGACGGGGAACACTGGTTGCCTGCAATTGCTTCTGCTTCAGATTCTGAACTGGTTTATGGCTGGAGATGAGCTTTTGTGTTTGTGGAGGAATTCGCTGGGAGGAATTTGAAGGACACAAGACCCGCTGGGCCTGGCCACTATTCGTAGATAACGGATTCTGAGAAGGAATTTGCTGAGTCACCGGAACACGTTTTGGGCCATCACCGAGTGCAATTGTAGTCTTAAGAGGCCCTGCAATGCAGTTTTCTTTAGATCGGTCCATGATGCCCGTCGACTCCCGCCTCTGACCCAAAGCAGCCAGTCCTCCCGAGAGCTCAACTGTTAAGATTCCTGAAGTGATTCTTTTCAACGTTTAAAATCTAAATCACTATTTACTGTTTATGAGCTGCCCTCATTTGCAATATGAATTATTTTGTTGTTTAAATTTTTAATTTAATAACCACTAAGTAAATATTGCTAATTCTCTTCTGTTGTTTCAGATTTGATGGGAACTTTAATACCAATGTATCTAGAACAATTAGTTGTGATCGACTTTCTACCACTGTTAATAGCCGGGCCTTCAATCCAGGACGAGATTTAAATTCAGGTCAGTAATCTCTTGGTTTGTAAAGGTGAACTATATTCCACCACATTCAAGTTGAATAAATGTATTGCTTTAGACATTTTCCCTTAAGATTTGAAGAGAAAATATCCATAAAATTGGATATTTCTTTCTGGAAAGTTGACACTCGGGGAAAGGAAAAAGAAAAGAGCTGACCTGTATTGAGCATTTACTATATAGTTATACATACGGCTAGATTCTTCAATCCATTATCTCATTTGATAGGAGTTTTACATTTGTTATTTTAAAGATTATTTTAGAGACCCAGTTATCTTTGCAGTAGAAAGTATTGAATTTATATTCCCTATTTGTAATTTTTAGTTTGTTTTGGTATTTTGGAAAAAAGGATAAGGGAGAATTTCTAATAACAGTGGTAGGATGCTATATATTGAAGTTGAACTTTGTTCTCAGTTTTGTTAAAACTTAGTGATATGCAGTAGTAATAACTACTAGGGTACCTGTATATATAGTTCTATAGGGTTCCAAAGGGACATAGCATCTCTGCTTTCTTGTCCTGCTGTTCCAGTCTATATTTCTCACCCTATTTGTCTTGTTATGTACACTTGTTGGTTGATGGGCTTCAGAACCTAAAGGCTTCCCCTTCCTTTTAAGAGCTGAAAATACCTTTAGAGATCACCTACCAGTTTCAGTCCTTAGATTTTACCAAGGAAAAATCTGAGGCTCAGAAGGATCCTAAGGTTTCCCTTATTACTGGAGAGATAAAGGATCTAATCTTAGACATGACAGACTGTATTTCCCAAATACCAGGTCTCTTACAGACATGTAAAACCTTAGAGAAGCTGGAGGGACAGAATATGTACTTTCAGAGCCCCATCCAGTCATGGTCCCTGGAGAGAACTGTAGCCTTTGGGAGTTGTATACACAAATCAGGTAATCTAGTAAGTCTGGAAAAGAAAGAACTGTAAGCTTTGTCGCTTAAGGATATTAAAACTCTAGCTGCTGGCCAAATGGTCAACCTAAATATGCCAGGTACATATCGTATAGACCAATACATAACGGATTCAGTTTTTTTTTTTAAATTGGTCAGAGAATCTGGAGGCCATCTGGAGCAGGTGGGATTAGCTATGAGAAAAGAAGCTCAACACTCTGGTTTCTCTTCAGATCGCATAAATCTTTCACTTTTACTAAAGATTTCCATGGAGAAAAGAAGCTCAGTGAAAATATTTTTCATAAAAAAATAAGAGCACAGAAGGACATGAAATAGGCAGAGTAAATGAATTACAGAAGATTCCATAGCTGGCACAGAACACAGAGCTAGAACTTAAATTTTCTAGTTCCCAAATTCAGTGCTTACCTTTTCCTCGGTTACGCTCAGTAACACAAGACAGGTTGGGTCTGAAGACTTGAGCTTAAAATAGCAATTTTTTTAAAGATTTATATATTAGAGAGACGGAGAGCTTGTGCACCGGGTTTGGAGGGACAAAGGAGAGAATCCCAAGCAGATTCCCCACTGAGCACAGAGCCTGATACGGGACTCGATCCCACAACCCATGAGATCATGACCTGAGCTGAAATCACGAGTCAGAGGCCCAACCAACTGAGCCACCAAGGCACCCCAAAATAGCAATCTTTGAATAAAATCAGATATGAATGTGCCCCAGATATGCACATTTTGTATAGTTAAAAATATGTTAACTTCTGGGTATTTGAATACATAAGGAAAGAATATAGTCCATTACTACTTTGTATACATAAGATCTGGAAGGGCTCACACATAAATGTTAATAGTTACCTTTTAGTGATAGAATCGTGGGGTATTTTTCTTACCAATTTTCTTAGGTTTTTTTAAAGATTTTATTTGAGAGACGGAGAGCAGGAGGGAGGGGCAGAGGGAGAGAGAGAAGCAGGAAGCCCGATGTGGGACTCGATCCCAGGACCCTGGGATCATGACTTGAGCTGAAGGCAGATGCTTAACCAACTGAGGCACCCAGGTGCCCTGATTTTCTTAATTTTAAACTAAGCAAGCATTGCTTTTATAACAGGGGGGAGGTGGGGGAAATAAAGCAAGAAGGAATTACAAACTACTTCCCAATATATTTTCACTCCTTTCTGGTAGACAATACCTTTCATAATACCTGAGAGTAGATCCTCAGTCAGGTGTCACGGTTCTAGGCAAAGCTCCATTCCCCTTCTGGCTGTGTGATTGGGACAATAAGAAAGTGTAGGCTGGGCCAGCCACACTGAGGGTGGTGCATGCTCACTTGGGAGCCAAAGCAACACTGTCCTGCCAGGATCCCTCACCTCAGTGGGCCAGGCCTTGGAGGATCTGGAAGCTGCCATAGCCAGGGTTCCCTCCTCATTGCCTTGTTTTATATCTATTGATTGTTTCTAATAATGAGTATATTGTTGAGCTCTGTCTCCATCATTAATAGTCATTATATACCTATTGAGCACCTTCTATGTGGTAAACACTTTCCTTTGTCCTAGGTCAGCTGTAAACAAAGCAAAAAACTTATATTCTGGGAGCTGGGAGACATAAACCTTAAACAAAAGGACAAGTAAATATACAGTATGTCTGGTGATAATGAATGTTATGGAGGAACAATAACACAGGGATGAGACATAGTGGTAATTTTGACTGGGGATGGGAGGGGAGGGAGGGAGGAGGGAGAAGAAGGAGTCTTATTACTTTATGAAAGGGCTCATCAGTGAGATCTGAATAAGTGGGGTTGTAAAACCATAAGAATAACAGGAGGAAATGTATCCCAGGCAAAGGGTTTGAGTTGGGAGAGTGTTTAGTGTGCTAAGTAATAGCGAGAAGGCCGCTGTAACTGTGATTCAGCGAACGAGGATTGATCGTAGAAGATGAGACCAGAGAGGCAGCTGGGGACCAGATCACCAAGAGCCTTATTTTACTGGCTCTTAGAAGGACTTTAGCTTTTGCTGTGAATGAGATAGGAGATCATGGTGGAGGGGAGGTCGGGGCAAGGAGCAAAAAGGGCTTATGCAGAGTCATGACTTGACTTAGGTTAAAAGGTTTATGGACTGCTGTGGCAAGAAAAGATTATAGCAAGGCAATGGTGGAAGCAGGGAGACCATTTAAGAGGTTATTCCAAAATCCAGGTGGCCGGTGGCAATGGTATTAATAGTGTAATAACAGTGGAGGTGGTGAGAAGTGGTTGGATTCTGAATATGTTTTGCAGGTAGAACCATTAGGATTTGCTAATGAATTGAATGGGGGTGGGGAGTATATGTAAGAGTAAGAGAAGAGCTGGGAAGGACTTCCAAGATATTTGGCCTTATCAAAGAGAAGGACAGAGTTGCCATTTACTATGATGGGGAATACTGGTGGCAGGCAGGGAGTCAACATTTCAGATGTAGAAACGCAAAGTTTGAGATGCCTATTAGATATCCACGTGGAAAGCTCTCCTAGGCAGTTGGTTATAGAAGTCTGGAATCTGGGGAATGGGTCAGACTAGAGATTGAAATTTGAGATTCGTTGTGTATAGGTAATACTTAAATCATGAGACCCAGAAAGATCACCTAGCAAGTGGCTGTGGGTAAAAAAGAGAAGAGGTTCAGGACTGTCTGAGGATACCTTACCATTTAAAGGTCACTGAAATGAAGAGGAAGCCCTGAAGAAATCTGAGAAGGAAGGAAGTCTGGTAGGAGAACCAAGAGAGTCGTCTTCTTGAATCCAAGTAAAAAAGTATTTCAAGAAGCCGGGAGAGATCAACTGGATCAAGTAGGCCCAGTAAGACAAAGGCTAAGAAAACGGACATTGGATTTAGGAACATGGAGGTCATCGATGAACTTGACGAAGGTTGTTTAGTATAACAGTAGAATGACAGGCTGATCCTGGTTAGTTCAGGCTCTTAAGAATGGACAAGAGGAGCTGGAAACAGTAAGTACATGAATTCCCAAGGTGTGCTGAAAGGAAAGCTGGAGTGCCATGTAGAGTCCAGAGAGTGTTTTTAAATTGAGAGAAATTACAGCAAGGTTATGTGCCAAAGGGAATGATCCAGTAGAGGAAAGCTTAAAGACCCAAGAGCAAGAAGAGAGACAGTTACTGGAGCCTTTTCCTTGATTAGGCAAGAGATGGTGGGATTCCAGTGAGGTAGTCCAAAAGCGCAGTGTTCATTCTTAGTAAGAGGAGGGAAGGAAAAGCGAGTGTGCAGGGATGCCCGCAATGATCGATGTAGTGTCGGGAACACAGAGACATTCCCTTCTTAGTGATTTTGTTTTCTCGGAGACTTAAGAAGCACGATCATCAGCCAAGAGTGAGGCAGAGAAAGAGGCATTGAAGACCTCTTAGTTACATTAAGTTTATCTTCTATAAATGAGGTTTTAGAGTAGAACTCAGCTGCGCACATAATTGGGAATCCTGACAAAATGCTGTTTTATTACAGTAGTTGTTTGTGAAGGGGGAGAGAGTTTGAAAAATCAGGAGGTGGGAAGGAAAGAGATGGTGAGGGCATAGGTACATGGTTAAAGATCAGATTTTGAATTTTGCTGTTTCTAAAAGCATGTCTCAAGTATAACATCCTACCTAACAAGAGTTGTTCTCGGCTCAGTCGACATAGCTAGATTTACAAGCAGTTTTTGGCAATGTTCAGGTTTTTGAGAATGGACTTGCTTGTATTTGAAGTTGTGTGACATTCCACCAAGCAGTGGCTGCATCCCAAAGTCCACATTCTTGAGCAGTCATTTGTAATGTAAGAGGAGTGGTAGATGGTGGAGGGTGACCTCAGAGCTCCCCCTTTTCCTTCTCTCCAGCTCATGCCTCCTTTCAGAGCAGAATTAATGTACTTCGTGGGCTATCACATGTCTGATATTTACATCTGTAAGATGTCCAGCCTCAGGCTTTTTCAGACTGTATATAATCCATCAATGGGTCCCTAATTGATAACACAGTTTCAGATTGCCTTTCAGACTAGCTAGAAACAGACCCACATAAATTGTAAACCATTCTTAGCTTCATTTACCCAAAACTAGTTCATGTGTCCATCCATCCAACACATATG